GTCCTGATGCATTACAATATTCCGATGGCTTTGGTCTCTACTCGACCGAGGAAAACACTGGAGGCTGCAATCAGAATGATCGGCATCGAAGGGTGCTTCAGTGCCATCGTGGCAGCAGAGGATGTCTTCGTGGAAAACCTGATCCAGAGATGTTTATATATGCTGCACAGCTTCTCGAGTTCATCGCTGAGCGGTGCATTGTATTTGGGAACTCTAATCAGACCATCGAGGCGGCCCATGACGTTAGGATGAAGTGCGTGGCTGTTGCCAATAAGCATCGTGTGTACGAGCTTAGGGCTGCAGACTTGGTGGTAAGACGTCTAGACGAGCTCTCAATTGTCGATCTAAAGAACCTCGCCGATATAGAGTCACCCGAATTCGGATCAGGAGAGCCGGAGACGAAGATGGAGGAGGAAGATTATGAACCACCCACCACAACAGCAATTGATGATAGTATTTTCTAGTAACCCCTTAAAAAAATTGTAAACTTTTTCGATGTCCATATGATTCTTCATGATAATTGTTCCAGTGTATAGCAAAAAAAGAAAAAAAGGTGGTAGTCTGCATTGGACAAACCCCAAGACCAAGATTACCATACATGTATCACATACTATCAAACTTCTAATGGCTACTTCCATCTCATTCTTCCTACTTCCTTTATGTTTTTGAATCTGATATTTTGCTTGCAAATGCCCAATTTCTCCATTACCAAAATTTGTTTGCCATATTTTTTTTTTGCTTATTTTTCTTTAACCAAAAACCATAAATCTCAAACAATTGTAAGTTAACTTGCAGGGTAGATATAGAATTTTATTTAGGTATGAAGTACGAACTTAAAAAATTATAAATGACGATAACAGATTAATAAGAGAAAGTAAGGATGAAAATAGATTAACAATAGAAAATTAAAAAAATTATATCTAAAGATATTATATGATAATTTAAAAATTCAAAAAAGATATTTGTCTTAATTAAATTCTAAAGGAAGAAAATAGATCATGAATAAAACAATATAAAAATTATTTATGATTATGATAATCTAAAAAAAAATATGACCGATGTATTCAAATAAAATCATATTTATCCATAGTTGTATTCAAATTGGTTGATTTTTTATTTATTTCTGAATTAGTTGATTTTTTATTAAGTAATAAATTATATATTTATGTCAGAAAATATGAATATTTGGGAAAGAGTGGCCGATGTCACCCTATTATCACCAGAAGCTAAGCAACCGAGTGGTTTCGTCACGTGACCCAGAAACGTGCACGCATTACATTTGACATCCAAAAGGCCAAAGCTACCCAACACGTTAAAACAATAGTAAAAAGGGTAAAGTATACAAATAATCCATCGGTTATAATATATTATTTTATTAAGTCTATCTATTATTAAAAGTTATAGAATAGTCATTCGACTAAGATTGTTACTTTATTGAGTCCATAGACTATTAAAAGTTACAAACTAATCTTCTAACTATACATTATGTTCCAAACTCATCATTTTTTTGTTAAAAATTGACAGTATTATGAGTTGAACGTTAATATACTAACCGTGATATGAAAAATTTGATCTCAGAATCTCAAGCGACTATCATATCTAGTTATCATGTTAACGTCCAATTTAGACAACTGCCATTTTTTAACGGAAAAGGACGAGTCTGAAACATAATTAATAGTCGGGTCGCCATTTTGTAATTTTTAATAGTCTAAGGGCTTAAAAGAGCAACATTATATAATTGAAGAAACATTTTGTAACTTTTAATAGTTGAGGAACTTAATAAAGCAATATCTTATAATCGGGTATCATTTGTGTACTTTACCTTAATAATAATAACAAAACTTTTTTTTATAAAAAAGTGTAACAATTGTTACCATATAGAAAATAATAGTATTTACTCTTAAAAATTCTTAAAATCAATTCACATACTTTGTATTATTATAATATCTATGGAATTAAATTATATTTTGAAATAATAAAGAAAACATGGTATTAAATTAATTTAATATGTCAAACGTCCCTCTATCGTTTCAAAATTTAAATTAGTCTTGTATAAAGATGATTATCAAGCGAGTCGATCGCGAGTTGGGCAGTGCTTGACTCGTGCTCGTTAGAAAAATTTGTTGCTCGACTCGACTTGCTGCTCGTTAAGCTTGTTAAAATGATTATATGGTATGAATTATTCAAAGTATTTTATATGGTATTCAGTAGATGGTTATGGATGATTTCGAGTATGAACTGCTCAATGCACTGACTTTTGATAAATGATATTTGGACATGTGAAATCGTATTTATGAATATGTTGAAAAAACAAATGAATATGGTTTTATTACTAGCCCATTGTATGTGAATTGTACATACAATTGGCATGTCATGAGATGAAGTGATTATATGATATGATATGGTATCCGTTGAATACATTATACGAGGTATATTCATGTACATTACATGTGACACAGTTGGTGCAAGTTATATGAGACACTTTGAGGGTATATTATTGATGAGGTAGTGTTACTACATATTGCGCATACTCTTTTGACTAACTTCATTCTCATCTATAGTATATTGGGCTATGCTTATATGAAATTAAAAAAGTGCAAGTTATATGATCTAAATAAGTGAAAGATACAAATTATTTGATTTAGATGAAAGCAAATAGTTTATTATATATGATGATTTTTGGCATGATATGCCTTTTATGTGACAAAGTGCCTATACATGTCATATGATTTGAAAGAAAGTTAAAGTTTTTCTGAGTACACTGACTTGACATTATATGCCTTATATATGTGTGAAAGAATGATTTTATAGGTTACAATTACACTTTAAAGAAAAAGGTTTGAAATGTCAGTTTTATATGTTTATACGTTTTTATCCGATTATTTTATTATTTTGGATATTTATAATCCTTTCATGTTTTAAAATACTTTACTTTGGTTTATATGCCCCACTAAGGGTAAACTTAAAGGTTTGTATATTCATGATTTTAAAATATTTTACGCATAGATGTCTGTTTTGAAAATCGGACTGGATCGATCGGTTCAATCGAGAATTGTTGTCTAATTCGGTTCAATTTAAACTGGTTGAACTGCTATTAGTGAACCGGCCAGAACCGCTGAATCGTTCGAACCGGACCGGCTGAAAACCGGAAAAAACCAAAAATTTTGTTTTTAAAAAAAAAATTAAACCAAACGTCGTTTGTTAAACGAGCCAAGTCAAATTCGAGTATTGCTAAGCTCGACTCGAACTTGAAAACTTTAAAAGTAAGCTTAACTCCACTCAAACTCACAAGTTAAAAATTATCAAGTTCAACTCGAGCTCGAAATATAATATTGAAACTTGAACTCAAAAAGGCTTGAACTAAAAAAAAATTAGAAGCTCAATTGAAGCCTAAAATTTGAGCTTGATTGAAGTGAAAGAATAGTTCACTCAATGCTCACCAAAAGGCTCCATGATTTTGAATGCCAAATTACCTTTATTATTTATAGAAGTTAGTTGTGATGCTCTTCTATGTTTCTTAGCAATGTGAAATTGTTTTGTTCTCATATTTTTACTCTTTAGACTTTTGGGATGCTCTTCTATGTTTCTTAGCCATGTGGGATTTTTTTTTAAAAAAATTAAACCAAACAATATCATTTTGTTATGATTTTTTTAGCCCCAAATTTATTTTTTTAATTATAGTTATATAATTATATTTATTATTTAATATGTTTTACCTTAAATATTATGTTGTAGTTAATTTGAATCATTTTGTTTCACTTGATTTTATAGTTTTTAATTTATATATGTTATGACTTGCTTTGAATATGACTTGTGATATAAAAAATTATTTTTTATTAAATATTTTTGGTATTTTTATTTAATTTTTTAAATAATTATGACGTCGTCCGGTTCTTCCGACCGATCGGACCGGTTGAACCAGTGAACCGGTAGCATGGCCAGTTCGCTAACCGGTCCGATTCTGAAAACCATGGCGTAGATAAAGAAAATGATACAGTTGCGAAGTGAGGAACATATCGAGCATCACATTTGTGGAATCATATCGACATACAATATCAGTAAGACATAATTTGACGTTATTTTGACTTGTTTAGTTGCATGTATATTGTAAATGTTCTAGTTGGTCTGATAGAATAATTATAAAAAGGTTTGTAATATTAAATTAATATTGCTTTAAATATGATTAGTATTAGATATAATTAGTAGTATGGATGAATAGTATTTTAATAAATTATGTTTTAAAAGCTAATTGGATTATTTTAAATTTGGCAGTTTTTAGACAATCTTATTTATGATATTAAACAATATTGAACTGCCTAGTTGCTATCTAAATCTAATTTTAAATTAGAAGTCAAAATATTATGTTTTGATTTTATAAGATTAAAGGGTTTTGTGCTAAATGTCAAATTTAAAAATTTTAAAGAAACAAAAATTTTACTAGATTTCAAATAGTAGGTGATTGATGTGACATCTCTGACTCATATACTGGGACCATCAAAGATGTTATAAATCATAAGTTATTCGAATTTGATTCGATTAAAATTTGATAAATACTTAATTCAAATAGACTTGAACTTGAATTCGACTCAAGTTCTTAGCAGGCCAGAATTAGTTACTGATATCTAATTCGTAAAGGTTGCGAACAACTTGAAAAAATTAATATATTAAAATTTTAATTTTTAAAATTAAATTATTTATAATATTAACATTTATATGTTGTTTTTAAAATACATTAAAAGGTTTTAATGTACTTAAGATTCTTGTTTGAGTTCGAACAAAACTTGAATTCGAGTTTCAATTGAGCTAAGTCTGAAATTGTTTCGAGTTCAAGTTTTTTCGAACTCAAATCAAACTTTAACATTTTTATTTCGAATTCAAGTCGAAGTTAACAATTTTAAACTCACAAACTTTTGATTCGAGTTGAATGAAATTCAATTTTAAACTTTTCAAGTCGAATCAAATTAATAATATTCGATCTGGACTAGTAACCCTAAATTGGAATGAAGTTAGAGCATTGGGTTCTAGCAAGTAAGGAATGTTTGATTGTGACGTGAGGGGCCAGCCAGAGTGGTTTTATTTGATAAGAGACACCTTAGATCTCTCATCACTCCAATCATTCATTCTTTAATTTCCATCCCCTCTAATTCCTCTCACAGTTTTTCTTAAAAAAAACAAATCTTAACACACCTAATTTGATCTTTAAATCAAATAGAAAAGTCTTTTAATGATTTTTAGGGTACAAACTTTTCAAATCAAGTTGTTTGTTCATCTTCGGATTTTCAGTTCTTCGCTTTGTATTACCTGGAGAGAAAAATGAGGGAAATTCTGCACGTTCAAGCTGGTCAATGTGGGAAATCGGTGGCAAGTTTTGGGAAGTTGAATGCCATGAACATGGCATTGATGCCAAAGGAAACTACGTCGGAACTTGTCGTGTTCAGCAAGAAAGGTTTAATGTTTACTTCAACGAAGCCAGTGGCCGCCGCTATGTACCCAGAGCTGTCTTGATGACCTTGAGCCAGGCACTATGGACAGCTTGCGTACCGGTCCCTACGGACAACTGTTTTGATCCGATAACTTCGTATTCGGATAAAACGGGGCTGGGAACAACTGGGCCAAGGGCCATTACACCGAAGGAGCCGAATTAATCGATTCCGTCCTATACGTTGTCCGTAAAGAAGCCGAGAACTGCGATTGTCTACAAACAGTGGCGCAACCACGTATTAGTGAGGGTGGTCACGTCCCCATCCTGAAATCGGCACCCACCTTGAAATTTTTCTTGCCCATATTAAAATATGAGTTTTATTCAATTAGTAACTTATTTTGCAGATGATGTTCACCTTAAAATTTTATTTGTAATCATCCCATTTAAAATTTTATGTTGTTAATTTATGTGTATCCACCCTAAAAAATATTTTTGGATCCACCACGGCCTACAAGGTAGTATTCTATCGACAGGCTGTTTAAATGTTAAAATTGTTGCATGTCTCTGATTAAGATAGTTCTTTGTCATTGTACAATTAGGCTTTCAGATTTGCCATTCACTGGGAGGTGGATCAGGGATGGGGACACTGTTTACATCGAAGATGAGGGAAGAGTATCCAGATCGGATGATGCTCACTTCCTCTGCGTTTCCGTCACCCAAAGTGTCCCATATGGTGGTTGACCCCTACAATGCGACCCCGTCGGTGCACCGGCTTGTGGTGAGGGCATGGTCCTCGACAATGAAGCTCTATATGATATCTGCTTTAGAACTCTCAAGCTCAAATCCCAGCTGTAAGCTCTCTGTGATTCGGTTTTTCATATATTCATAGGAGTTGACATTCGATCGAGTCGAGTTTAATTTTAGTCACTTATATATACTCACACAAAAGCAATATGTCAGTTCTGTTCAAACCCTATATAATCGACCAATCCCATACTTCAACTGTCAAATCAACCAGGTCATAACCGAATCCACTTTAATAACAGTTGATTCGTTATTTAAGTTGGTTAAACCATTCTTTTCTCTTATTCCTTAGTTTCGGCTTTGTTCAAGTTTTACACCATCGTTTTAGGGGTGATTATATGTTGGATCAGATCGAATTTCAACCTACTCGACTTTAATTTGAAAATTAATTCTCTCCACCAGCAGTCGACCCAAGTTTAGGAAAACTTCATTCAACTTCAATTCAACCCGAATTTTTAACTTAAAATCTGCACTCAATCCAATCCAATTATTTATATATAATGAGCTAATTGAAAAAAGTAATCTAGAGGGGTGCTATTGTAAATCTCTAAATATACAATGGATAATTATATTATTATCTCATGTTGAATCAAGTTTTTTTCACTTAAATACTATTGAAAAAAGACGATTAAATTTAGTCTCGAAAGTCGTTGAATCCATGTCAAATACACATTCCTAATCATTTCCACTAAAAGTATTTTTTTAACTTTCTTGTGGTAATTTTTTTCAAATTAACTTTTTTATTTAAAATTTATTATGAGGATTTGAGAAAATCTATTTAAATTTTTTTTAATCAAACAATTTTAAATATATATCTTATAAAAATTAATTATTTAAAATATTTAAAATAACCAAATTCAAAATTTTAGAAATTTGAGAAAAAATGATAATTATAATATGACAGAGAAAGTATATAAGTAAAAATGTATTTGAGACTTCATACTTAAAAAAAAAACTTAATGTGGACCTTGAACTATTATTGCACTCAATGTCACCATAAAATTTAGAAAAATTTTTAATGTGACCTTTGAACTATTTTTGCACTCATTGTGATATTAAAATTTAGAAAAGAACTCAATATAGCCCTTTAACCATCAATTTTGTCGTTAACTATTACACTACTGACGTGACAGTTCATGTTGCTGATGTGACGGTCTATGGTAGTTGTTGACATGGTTGATGGACTAAATTGGTTTTCTTTGTCGAGTTTGAGAGCCAAATTGATTTTTCTGAAAGTTTAAAGGCTTATTTGTTTTTTTATAAAAATAAAAATATTCTAATTTTTTTTTTAAAATAAATATGAAAAATTACTAAAACAATAATTAAATTACTAAATTATTATTATTATTATTATTATTATTATATCTCAAATTTAACTTGTTTTTATTTATACCAAAACCAACGGTGTCACTAAACGACATAAGTGGGACCCCTAAAAATATTCTACAGACAATATTTGGTTGATCTCCTCACCGACATTCGGAATCCAAGATAACTGTAAATATTAAATACCAAAGTTAACATATATAAAGTTAAAAAGATTTAAAGAAAAATAATAAAAATTTCGTACGTCATACCGAAAATCAACTGGCGATGTCGATCCTCAACTATATGTCTCGTGTAGTGGCACCCACCAAATTAGTCTCGAAGATTTTATTAAGCCATCTAAAATATTTAAAAATAAAAAAAATATTATAAACAAATAAAAATAATTAAATTTACGAAATTAAAAAAAAAAATTAAGTAAATGAAGTAAAAGATTTTATGAAGTAAACGAGAAGCGATACCAAGCCCATGACTGTGGCAGCATCAGACAGTCTGCTACATCAACTTTTCGACCCGGTTGGGCAAGTGCGACCTTTCAAAGCTCCCGGTAAAGAAATGCCAAAATCGACGAGCCCCAACTGGTATTATGGCACACGATGTAGTCTTCCAAATATCGTAAATACTACGTGTGCACAAAATTATCGGATTTGTCTGCTAATAATATCCTTCGATCACTTGGAGAAGAAATGCTTGAGAGGCGAAAACAACCTCCGCCTCGGTAGACACGTTTGTGACTTCAAATTTGGACTCCAACCACTTTATCATCACCGATAACCTCTCATGACGTCGGATAGTGTCCATTTCCCCAATACTTGATGAATCAATGTTGGGGGTTGTACATATTCTACGAAACCACGGGGGCTTAATTCACCGGAACACCAAGTTGGCAACGACGTATTCCAGAGTAATTATCGCTTCACCACTCGGTAAATGGAACGTGTGTGTCTTGGGCCGCCAAAGTTCGATCGGATCCTTAATCAACACCAGGTACATCTTGAAGCCACGTAAAAATAAGGTCAAAATTAGACCGAAATGATGTAGATGTCATCATCCGTTGATGCGGCTCTCTAGTTGTTATCCCCCAACTACGAATACCTCATTCATCTTTGTTCGGCACGAGTTGGATCGACGAAACATGGGAGTTATCCAGCCGCAATATATATTCTTATGTTGCCATTTTTACATAATATATGAATATTTGCAATTGTTTTTGAATTCAGGGTTTGGTGAAAAACCAAAACATCAAATCTCTATTTATATCCTTACCACTAACGGCTATAAACAGATAGATATTTGAAATATCCACCCGAACTCGTCATGTCGAGGTGACGAGATCATGTGACTGTTGCTGCTCGACTGACTGTTGACAAACGGCTGGTAATTTTGAATTTGAAATAACTCGTTATCTCGACGTGACGAGTTCATATACTTTTTTGTAAATATATATATATATATATATATATTAAATTATTACAACAAAAAATTATTGGACTCATCACCTCAGCATGAAAAGTTATTAAAATTCAAATAAAATAATGGCTCACGTGGGCCACAATACTGGACCATTAAAAATTAATATCCGAGGGAACTCGTCACATAGTGTGATGAGTTCAGTATTCATTGTAGAAAATGTCATATTTCCCAAAATAATTTCTGGGTAAGCCCAATACCTTAAATAATTTACCCGCCTAGAGTATTGGGCCAAAAAAATGATTAAGGGAGATGAAAATTACTCTCCCTCTCTCTAAATCGTTGGAAACAAATAGGAAAAATGGTGTTTTCGCCAAAATGCTTAATTTTCTAATTTCTAAAGATAAAAAATGGTATTAATAATCATATGCCCATTTTTAATAACATACCAAACCTAACAAAAATTATCCATAAAATTTTCACTAAACTCGAAAATATGTACATAGCCATGCGATCTTCGTCATTTCTTTCACTCCTTAGTGCCAAAGCCACCCCATGGTTGACTGAGAGGGACGGATGGGGCAGTCGCAGTTGGATTTTAAAATTATTATATATTTTAGATTTTTATATGTATATTAAAATTTTGTTTTCGCCCTTGTAATTTTATAAGTTTGTCTCTTCTTATATTTTAGAAGTTCACCCAAATTTTATATATATTGCACCATCATTTCATTTTGAAAGAAATTTAAGGGTGTTCAATTTTTGATTTTAACTGAATAAACGGTTAATCAAATCATCATTAATTTTAGATTCGGTAAAATTAATATTTTTCAAACTTCAATTATCATTAATTTGATTTAAAATCAGTTAATTAATCTAATCAACTTAAACAAGTACACTTTAATCAAAGATTTTATCAATAACCATATAATTGATGTAACCCCCTCAAACTGATGTGGGTGACCTGATCCGATCCGAGGTGTAACATTATGGCCACCGAAGAAACCAACTCTAAGAATCGGGAAAATTTAAAATTTTATTAAATTATTTCATAGCGTAAATAAATTATAAATAAAATAAAAGTTCAACAATCATTCTGACAATAAAACATAATTCAATAATATTCAACATCTAAACAAATGTCATACTATGATATGAAAATAGACTATGAACCACATGCCCCCTAATTATACTTATACCTTAATTTGCAAGCAATGCCGAAGGAACACCCATTATTGATGTCGATGGTTTCCCTGGATCAATTATTTTAACCTGAAATAGTAAGTAAAAGAGTGAACTTTGGGAAGCTCAGTAATACAGAACTACCAGATGATGCTGAAGGACATGCAGATAAATGACAAGCATAAAATTCCCTTGTTGATTCAAACATCTACAGGTTTTCGTGATGAGCTGAGGTTCAACTGATATTTATTCAGGTAAAAGATAGGAAACTTATAGTTCAGAGGAAACATTCAAAGGAACAGGTCAGGAGATTGAAAACATACGTCTAGTGTGCTCTCATAAAATAGAAATATTGTACATATAGTTTAAAAAAGTAGTAGTTTATTTAAGCAAACATATTTTTAAATTCACTGTAATACCCTCCACCCAAACACTCCATATGTAATTCCCCAGAACTGTAAATAATTACCAGCTGGATCAAGGCTGAACTTCAAAACACCAGACTTTACCTAGACAATGCCATGGTAAAAATTAGATTGAGCAATAATCAGTAATATAAGAGATCAGGTGCTAGATATATTATATGTCAGAAAACAGAAAACAAATACTGGTATTTGATTGTAGAAATGTTCTAAGGTTGGATGGAAGTGGATTTCATGCTTGAATCGAATCAAAATCGAGTAAAATCATGAAAATCCTAGTTTTAGAGGTTTAAAGCATTTGGCCATTGCATGTTTGGGTGAGAAAATTATGGAAAAATTATGTAAGGGCTGTAAATGATGTAGGAAGTATTCTACAAGCATTATAAAACTTTTGGGATCATTTTATAATTTTTGAAAATTTAGGGGACCAAATCAAAATTTTGGAAAAGTTTTAAATGGTTGTATAATTGATTAATAGTTGATGTACTATGTTGAAATTTATTGTTTATGAATTTAAATGAGTGTTAATATGTGAAATATGACCATTTTGGAAGTTTGAAAAGTTTGGTGATTTAAATGCAATATTCGTATAGTTGGGGTGCTTAAATGTGATTGTGATTTGTAAAAGTACTTGGATGGTAATAATTTCAATGCTGGAATTTTGATATTAAAAATTTAAGTGATAAAATGGTGAAGGACCATTTTATGTAAATTAGAAAAGTTGGTGTCAATATTAAAAGAATTA